GCTTTAGGTCTTCATCAGCAGGTGATTTTCCTGTTGACCTCACCTTAAGGGAGGTGGAAACAGGCCATGGAGGGATGGCCATGGCTGGGGGAGAAATGCAATGTGTCCTATTGATGTTATTTTCTGTGCTAGGAATAGCAGAGTCTGTAAGGTTTGACCTTTTCCTAGGAGGTTCCTCAGAAGTAAGATGGGATGCTAAGAGGGCCATCAGCCCATGTTGGTGACAACGGTGGGGGGGGGGGTATGGAGGGCTAGATAAGTGTGCTCAACCTCAATAGGATCCTTAGCATCTGGGATGCTCTCTGTGCTTGTGGAATGTGTTTCCAAACAGACATTGGGCAGGCTGGAGAGACAGGCAGGAATGATGAAAAGCCCAGAACCCCCCAGTTCATCATGAGAGATAAAGAAGTTTAGTCTATTTAACTTCTCAGAGAGAAGGTTAAGAGGTGCCTTGATCATGGTCTATTAATACCTACACAGGAGAAATAGTTCAGATAGTAGATAGCTCTTTAATCTAATAGGCAAAGACATAATGCAATCCAGTGGCTGGAAGCCAAAACTCGACGTCTCCAGACTAGAAATAAGGGCACGTTTCACCGTCAGGTGCATCAAGCTCTGGAACAACTCACCACCAGCAGTGATAGCATCTCTCCCAAGAGGAAGGTGTGCCTGTACCCTGCTGCATTCCCAGTGCAGGAATGATATGAGGCAGTAACCTGTCACCCCCAGGGGCAAGGCTGCACAGACTATTGGCACATCACAACTATCACAAAGACTATTTGGCACTTAAAGTGTGGGGTTTTACAAATGGAGGGTTGATGGTGTTTACTTTCCTGCCAGAGCAATTTAAAACTGCTCTGTAGCTAGGATGCTGTAAGGATATCAAACAGTAACATTGGGATGGTTGCTTTTGTCTTCATTCATTTCCTTTATATAAAGTGCTAATAGACTTGTGGCTTGTTGGAAGAGAAAACAAAAAGGAAGGGGGAGTAAAAGGCTGGGGTAAATAAACACATCCTTGGCTACATGAACAGCCCTACACACACAGAGTTTATAAGCTCCTCAAGAGAAGGGATTATAGCATGAGCTGTTTATCACTGCTTCTGAACTACAGAAGGACGTCAAGTCTTAAGTCTTTTGTTAAAGCTTCGAGGTGAAGGCCAGTGAGAAGGGACACTTTTGAAAGTCAGGTGCCCCAAAATATCCCTTAAGATCTGTCCCTTAAGATCAAGGTATCAAAAGTCACTCCATGAGAAATCTCAGGGCTTAGCAATGATTCAGTAACCCCCCCACCAGCTCCGTGCATCATCAGGCTCTGGCAGGCTTTAGAAACTGCTCATGAGGAGGCTTGCACCCCACAGCCCTGCAATGGGAGGCATGGGGCAGGGGAGAGGCAGCAACAGCCCCTGCTTCAGCACTTCCATCCTGCTGCAGTGCCCCTTCCCTGGCCAAGCTGCTGCCAGCGAGCAGCAAACCTCTCCATCCATACGCGGCCTGTGCAGCAGCAAAGTTTGTGTCATCTCAGCACTTCTTTGCAGCATGGGAAGTCTCATCCAGGTGGGAAAGGGACCTCCATCTCCATTGGGAGCCAGCTGGAGCTGCATGCCGGCAGGGGAGCTCTCCTCCAGCAGGAAAACCGTAGTGTGCAGGTGGGTTTGCAAACACTACAGTATGACACCGGCTCTCCAAATGCCATACTTAAGAACACAAATAATATTTCCGATTAGTCTGCCTCAATACATTGCTCTTTATGTTATCGGCGTTTCGGTGGGTGTAACGTGGCGGGGTTACTGTGAGAATCATAACTTTGCATTTTGAGTGATTAGAACAGTAACCTTCACCTCACCTTAACAGCCACACTGGTATTTGATTACACATATCCCCAAACAGATTATGTTGTTAAGGTAGATTTTGGGAACCATAACTCAAGAGGAGAAAACACAAAACCTTTGCAGAAATCTGTTGCTGGAGAGCCTGGAAATTGGGTGCTTTCAAACTGCGTTTGGGCTCAGGTGACAGGTTTAAAAGGTGAGCTTTTCTGACTTCCCAAGTCACCAGCAGCCTCCCTGCTCTCCTGCCTGGAGCCACGCAGGGAAAAGCAGTGCCTTTTAAACAGAGGCAAGTTTGCTTGATGAGGGTGAGGTACAGCCACAGCAGCCCTTCCCTCTGACAGGCAAACTGACCACAAACACCCACCACAGGGCCTCATTAGTATGTTAATACTCACCACTCAGAGATGCAGAGCTGTAATATGTGAAGTTTCAAACCATGACCATCTCTCTAGATTAACGCTTAAAATACCAGGGAGCACCAGAAAATGTGATTGTGTTCAGCTGAAATCATTAGAAGCATCCTTTAGGCCTTTAACCCTGCTTTCTGCATCTGTTTGTCCTTCAGATCTGCTTTATTTCTTACATGGTTCTCTCAAATTTCTTTCCTTTGCATGAGGCAGCCTCTAGAGCCGTGTTACCTTGACTGCCCTGGGTTCAACATCCCCATTTACATCACCACTGAGTGCAGACACTCGATGCACATCCATTGCACCCAGTGCAGACACTCAATGCACATCCATTGCATCCAGTGGTGTTCGGAAGCCGTTTGGTGTTCAGCTCTTCCCCCAGTTCTCCACGCACTTGTGCCAGTCCCATGTGCAAGGGGACAACCTGGAGGTCAGTGTCCAGGTAGCTCCAGGATTGCTCCAAGTTGTGGGGCACCCTGGGTTTTTGCAGTATTTGTGGGTGTCTCAGTGCTCAGACTGTTTCTGAGCTGATGTGTAAGAGAGGAACAAACCCTCACTCTTTGGAAAGCACGCAGGTGCCCATCTGCTCTCATATTCTTACTGTGAGCCCCTTGATTTCCTCCTGGCACTAATCCCTGGCCTGCTTTATGCCCTGCATGGCCAAACTCTTTGAAACCCTGCCATTCCTGCACTTCCAGCACCTTGGCCCCTAGTGGGAGCAGAGCCCAGCCGTGGCCATGGGCCAGTTGGATTCCCACTCCCAGCTCCTCCCCACGGCTCATTGGAGGTGCTGAGTAAGTACAAACACACATCAGGAGCACATCACAGACCCTTGGAGCTGCCCAAGGGCTGTATGCTGCGTGCAGGTGGCACTCAGGGCTGCTGAGGAGCTATGGCAGATGAATCAGCAGCTTGTGTCTATGGAAGAGGATGGCTTGGGGGGACACAGCACCTGAGGAGCACTGGTGAGAGAAATCCCAGCCATTTCCAGCAAGACCAGCTCTTCCCCTACCTCACGGCAAGCAGGAGCCCCGGTCCTCGTGCTCCACAATGTGCAAGAAAATGAGCACAAGAGAGGGCAGTATCAGGGCTTTCTCACTCCAAACAGGGATACACCAATGCAATCGCACCGTATAGCAAATGCTACGATGGGGAGCTGTTGCTATGGTGAGGGAAATAATATTTAAGCACCAACTGTTTATAAATATAAAATCCCCACAAAGTTTCCTAAAATAAGATGAAGGGGGCCAGGGCTGTCAGGGGATTGTAAAAGACTTGAGAAATACTGGTATTTTTGGACACGCAAGATCTGGGTACTCCTAAAACAGCAAAAGCAAGTCCAAACTGCTCAGCATCAAACGTGACAATCTGCTGTTGTGCTTCCCGAGATTTAAAGTCACTCTCCTAGCCCTGAACTCGCTGTCACAGCCTGGCAGGCCTTGAGGAGTGCAGGCAAGGCCACTGTTCCCAGGGAATTATTCTTCTCCTGATCCAATTGCAGCACAGGGACCTGGGCTGTGCTGGTTCTCGTAGCCCACTTGCTGCCGAGTTGTTCCAAAGCGCTGCTGAACACCCTGGAACCATGACCCTATAAATCCTGGAGTCAGAGGTGAAGGTTTGGAGATCCCAGAGCTGGGGAGGCAGCTCTGGGGGTTGTCAGGAGCTGGGTGTTGCTCACATGGCTTTAAGAAGAAAGCTTCTGTGATTCCTTATGATGCCCAGGCAGCACTAAACATACACGAAGTACATCAGGGATATAAAAGTGAATATCCCTTGTAGTGACTCCAGAATCATTAGCCGGCTCTTGTCAGTAGCTGCCATTTCAGCAGAGGGGCAGTTAAAGTGCTAAAAGCACAGCTTGGCTGGCAAGTGCTGGGCAAAAGGAGACATTTGAAGCTGCCGAAAGCAAACGTCCGATCCGTTTCGAGGGGTCGAACAGAAGCAGAAACTGGGAGGAACCAGACCCCAGCCGCCGCAACAGCCCTGCCGCTCTCCCTTGTTTCCATCCCTCTGCCCCATCCCACCTTCCCAGGGAGTCAGCGTGCACCTTCCCTCCTCCCTCCCGGTCCCCCCCGGGATGGGTTTGGTCCTCGGGCCGTGGCAGCGCAGGATTCCTGCCCATGGAGAACTATGCAGTTGTTTCCTGCTGCTGCTGAGCAAAGGCTTCAACAGGGAAACACGCACACCGCTACCGACCCTGAGGGGTGCCTGCACCCCAGCGCCACGGCCCGCTCCCCCATCCCGCGGCGTGGGGGCACACACCGCCCGTGAGGAGGGGGGAAAGGAAACAGCGAGTTTCCTGCTCGGCGGAGCCCCGCGGCGGGGCTGGGGCGGTGCGGGCAGCGCGGAGGCTCCTCTGTGCCTCTGCGCGCTGCCGGGGGCCCGGAGGAGGGCGGAGGAGCGGCCGCATCCCCCCTCCCTTGCTCTCCTTTCCTTTCCCTCCCATCCTCTCCTCTCCTTCCCCTCCCCTTCTCTCCCCTCCCCTCGCCGCCGGAGGGGCGTGGAGAGGCGGCCCCGCGCGGCTGCTGCCCGCACGGGCAGGGCAGGGCAGGGCAGGCTGCGCTCGGCCACGCAGGGATGAGCCCCCGCGCCGCTGCCCGCTGAGCTCCAGCGCAGCAGCCCCCGGGGCCCGGCCGGGCTCCGCGTCCCCCGCCCCAGCAGCCGCGGCGGGGCCCGTCGGGGATGCGGGGGGGAGCCCGCCGCGGCGCTCCGCCAGGTAAGGGGCGGTGTGGGGGGGGGACGGGACGAGGGCGGGGGGCGCAGATGGCGGCGTGCGGGGCTCTCCCGTAACCCTTCCTCGCCACCGACTTCGAGCGCAGCGAGAGGTCCCCGCAGCGCGGAGGGGACTTTTCCCCCCGCGGGTCCCCAGCGCCGGCTGCGGCGGGACCCCCCCCCCCGTGCGGGGTGTGCGGCTCTGCCTGCCCCCAGCCCCCGGTCCAGCGCTGCCTGAGCCGGGGAACGAGCTGCGGCGAAACTTGGGCTGTTGTTGTGTGAGGAGCTGCCGCCTGGAACAAGTGAGTAAGTCCCCGGTGCCACCGCGGAGCCCAGATGCTCTGCCCGGTCGTGTGAGCCGCGCCATCCGGCGGAGCAAATGCCCCAGCGTTTGCTGTCAGAGCCGAGAGCGCTCTGGTTTAAACCTGCCGGGAGGACGCAGGCTGGCGAGGGGACCTCGCCGTGGCATGGGGTGGCCCCACGGGAGAGCTGCGCGCTTCAAGGTTCGTGTTCCTGGCGCGACCGAAGGGGTTTGGAGCTGGTGAATGGGAGCGTTCATCCCCAAAGAGCCCGCAGCTCCTGGCAGGGAGTGCTCCGGGAGGGAGCAGCACGCACAAACAGCCCGGTGGATGGCTCAGGGGAAGGTGGAAAGCACAGAATAATTGTACCGGGTTTAGCCAGGCGTTTGCGTCCTCGGGAAGAGACAGATGCGGTTCGGCAGATGAGGGATAAACAGGCACAGGTGGATGTTGAGATAAGAAAACTCTGGCAGGGGTTGGCGTTACTTGATAGTGATTAATTAACTCGAAATGTGTATGCTGAGTGCCAGCAGGAGCAAACTGAAACCCCACTGAAAGCTCTGTGATGATTTAAGCGCTGGTCAAAGCATGTGGTAATCTGGTGGCAAAGGATCTCTAAAGGGTCTCTCGGTCCCCCTGAGATGTAGAGGGGATGAGAGGACAGAGCTTGGGGACCGGGGGAATACCTCGGGTGGGTTTGGAGCACTGGAGTCCTGCACCTTACCGTTAGAAAAGTGCCTGGGGAGGTGATGCCCATAAGAGCAGAGTGGGTCTGAGGGCACGGAGCGCCTCCACTGGGTGCTCACCTGAGGAAGGTGCTGGGTGTCAGTCCCCACATGGCTTTTGGAGCTGTGACCGTGGGGAAGCTGTAGTGCTCTATGGCTGAAAAGGAGGCAAGGCTGAAGGCTCATTCCCATCCCATCAGGAGTTCATGCTGGCGGGCCTAGGGGGGATGCTTTTGGACAGAGAGCAGCCTTGCTCACGCGTCTGTTACAGTACCCAGTATCAGGTAGTGCCTGTGGTGAGGAGAAAGGGGGGCTGCTCAGTGCTGCTTTGCTCAGCAGTGTCTCTTTCCCTGTGGAGCAGTGGGTGCAGCATGCCCAGGGAGGTGGCCCACTGATGTGCTTGGTGTCTGTGCTCTTCACAGAGCCGCCAGCGTGTCTAAGCCATTGTGACCGAGCAGGATGCTCATCTTTAAACTGCACCAGGGGCCCGTCTTTCTCACCTCAGTGGCCACAACGTGTTGTTTTACAACATAAACTCTTTGCTCAGTGGGAGGATGCTGGGAAGCAGCAGGGCCCGTGCCAGTGGCTCCCTGGACAAGAGGTGTTTTGCAACCCAATTTCCATGCCAGGACAGAGGTGGGAGAGCGGGGCCACAGGAGCCAGGCTGGGTGGGCAGGGGCACCGCAGGGTGATGGCTGCAGCTCCCTCCTCCCTGACCACCCCTTTGGCAAGCTGCTGTGTCCTGGGCAGGGCACCCAGGGGTGTTGCTTGCTGAGTAGTAGAGGACAGGGCTGCAGAGCTGAAGTTGGTGCTGGGAGCTCTGCGGGTGACTCTGCATGTGTCCGGGCGGGATAAGGTACGTTCTGGGATGCGATCCCCAGCAAGCGTGCTGCAGTGATGCCTTGTGCAGATGCACTTGTGTCAGAGAGGGGCTTTGCCTTGCAACTCCTGGGGTGAGCTTTGCCTTGTGCAGGGTGTGCCCATGTGCTCCTCTGAGCTGGTGTGAGTGTGCCCAAGCGTGCGGGTGGGCAGCCCTGCCTGGTCCCTGCACTCATCCACCCATCATCCTGGCACTGAGATCCCGGCACTTCTCGGGTGTTTGCTGCTCACAATTGTGTTTCCCAGCTGGTCCCAAAGTCCTGAGTCACTCTGCCGTTTCCATGGAAACAGCCTCGCTGGCGGGAATCGGTTTTGGGGTAGAGGGTGCCAGTAGCTGGACCAGCATCGGGCAGACCCCAGGGAAGGGCTTGTGGGGCACAAGCGCTCCTCCAGCCCATCACTCTAGCGGCAGGGCTGGTGCAGGCACCTGCATTGCACAGACCCTCAGACCTTCTTCCACTCCCTTTTCCCTTCTTCCCTGCCATGGGGAAGTGAGGAGGGGTTTCCCTGCTGCTGGCAAGGGAGCCCAGGATGAGCCCAGGCAAGGGCACAACTTCAGGGGAGCTGCTGAGAGAGGGGGACAGCCTGGAAGGCACCTGGAAAGAACAGGGTTTGACTGCCCTGTGGGAGAGCCTTGGGAACAGCAGTGACAGTGCCAGTCACTGCGAGGTCCCCTGCCTAAAGCTGCTGTCACCCCTGAGCTGCCCAAACACCTCAGGGAGCAGCAAGGGAACCTGCAAGGGAGGCTTGGGGCAGGAGGCAGGGCAATGGAGTGCGTGGAGATGCTACGGGAGCCCCCGGAGGATGGGATGCTATAAGGCACTGCCCTGTGTGGCACGGGCTGCTTTCGGAGGGGAGATGTGCTGATCCCTGCAGCAGCACTGCCGAACCCATCCTGCCCGGCAGCACCGGAGCTCGGCTGCCAGCGCCGCGGCTCTAAAAGCAGGTCATTCCCATCAAACCTGGGAAGACCATCCCCACAACAGGAGCCCACGGCTCAGCACCTCCTCCCGGGCCTCTGCTGCGCTGCGGCCGGCCGGCCGGCCACTCGCTGCTCCCTGCGCCGGTGACTCACGGATGCCATTCAGCTTAATTCATCGCCTCCCATCTCCCTGGTGCTCCTGGGCTGTCTCTGGCTTCTCGCTTTCTCGTCCTCCCCGGAGCGGTGCTTGGGATCAGGGGAGGAGGAAGGCAGGTGATTATGCACCCGTTTGTGTGCGGTGGGGGAGCCTGCACTGCCTGTGCGCATCCTCTCCCTTCCTCCGAGCTCAAGGGTGTGGGAAGTGGGGCAGGAGGGAGAGGAAAGGCTCAGCACCTTCCTCTTCCCACAGACAATGCTCCTGTCCCCGTGCCAGGCTCTAGCTGGCCTCCTGCAGTGCTCGGGGCCAGGGGCTGGATGCCGTGCATCCCTTGTGGACAGCCTGGTCCTGATGTGACTGCGGGCAGCCGGCAGAGATGCTGGGAGGCAGTGGAGCACAGTCTGGCATGCTGTGACCAGAGGGGAGGGGGTTAGGGTCAGGGAAGGGGCAATAGTGACCCCAGCACAGCGCAGAAAGAGCCCGTGTTCCTTCTCACAGACCCTTGCGGTGCTTCTCCCCCACCCCGGCTCACCATTCCGCAGCCTGGGGGGACCTGCTGGCCTCAGCTCCCACCCTCAGGCTCTATTTGCTCATCGTCTTTGGTGGAGCTGAGCTGAAGGCAGAGCAGGGGCGATTTCAGCTGGGAACACTTTACAACACAGAAACATCTGTGAGGCCAGCCTTTCGGAAGATTCCCATGGCCACAGCATCCCACGATCTGGGGCTGAGGAGCCAAACCTGTACGTGCCTCACACAGGACTCTCGGGTACAGCATCACAGAGCTGCTGCTCTGGACTGCTGCCCTGGTATCAGTGCCTGAAATGTAAGAGCAAGGTTCCTCTGGGCAGGGACGGGAGATCAAGTGGCTATCCTGCTCCATGTGTGCATAGGAGACATCCTCCTGCAGCGTGTTGCCTGCTCCAAGCCATAGACAGCTCCTTCTGTGTGTTTCGCACCAGCCTGGCTGTGTCCATCAGATGAGCAATGGGGAGCATGAGTTGAACGGACGCCCCAGGAACCCCTCATGAGCACCATCACCACTGCCTCTCGAGCCCAGGGCTGGGCTGAGTGGGAACTGCAGCCCCTTGGGGACAGGCAGTGGTGGGAGGAGGCAGGAGAGGCGGCTGGGGGCTGAGGGCTGGCTCTGGCTGGGTCTAAAGGCCACGGATGAGACATCAGGAAGCCGCCTCCCCAGACCCTCCCCGGCTGCAGCGCAGACAGGCAGGGCACAGGCGAAGGGTGAGGCTGAAGCCGGGCTGTAGTTTTGTACCTGCTCTGCCAAGGAGGTGAATCAGTGCCTCGTTTCTTCCGCATTGCAAAGGGGAGCGGGTCCGGGCGGGGGGAAAGGCTGAAAGTCTCTCATCCAGTGATCCAGCAGGAACTGGGATGTGGAGTCACCGGGGCTCTGGTTACCTTTTGCTGGCAGCAGGTTTCACCTCATCCTGGGACAATCCGAGTCGCATCTGCTCCAGCATCCATCAGCAGCGCAGCCAGGAGAGGAAACCGAGGCTCTGTGAAGGATGCAGTGTGGCTGGCCAGCACTAGAGAGCAGGAAAGCGTTCCCACTGCAGCTCCCACCTTGGTGTAGCATACAGGAGCCACCTGGGCCAGGAGATGCCAGCAGGGACCCTCCTGCCCTGCTCTGGCTTAGAAGGCCTGGAAAAACACTTGATTCAAGGGGCAGCCCAGGTCTGCCCTCTCCAGGGTGGGTAACCCAAACCAGGAGCAGCAATAGCCAAGCATCTGCAACCAGATGCCACATCCCTGGCAGGCAGCAGCCTGGGACAAAGCAACCCTTGTTCAAAGCATTGTCACAGGTCTGAGGCATGGCTCTTGGTGTACGGTGATGGGCAGCAGAGGTTTCCTGCAGCATCTGTGCTGGAGTCCACACGCTGGTGTTCTGCTCTAAACCCCACTCCCAGCAAGAGGTCTCTGGAGCTGGTGGCTTCTGCAGCCTCCTGCCTGCACTGAGCTGCTGGGAAATAATAAAAATCATAGTTGAAAAGAAATAAAGGGAAGGGTTTTGGCTCACCTGCAGGGCCGAGCAGCTCTCCTGGCATCACTCACTGCGGGACAGGGTCCCTCCAGGGAGGGGGAGAATGTTGGGATAGAATCACACACTGGCTTGGGTTGGCAAGGACCTTAAGATCATCCAGTTCCAGCCCCCCTGCCACGGGCAGGAACACCTTCCACTAGAGCAGCTTGCTCTAAGCCTCATCTAACCTGGCCTTGAACACTGCCAGGGATGGGGCAGCCACAGCTTCTCTGGGCACCCTGTGCCAGCACCTCAGCACCCTCACAGGGAAGAATTTCTTCCTTGTATCTAACCTGAACTTCCCCTGTTTCAGTTGGATGGGAACAACAAGCTGGCTGGGGACACACAGCATGAGAGGAGTGAGGAAGACAAAGAATGGTGGTGATGATGCTGTGGGAAGGAAGGGCTGTGTTGGGTGGAAAGGGAGATATTTGGGTCTGACCCTTGGTTTCTGGGATGCCATCTCCTGCCCCTCCAGCCCCACTGGCCTTAGGGAGCAGTATCACATGAAGTCCTGTTCTTTGTGGAGCCGCAGGGCAGTCTGTGAGTGTTATTTGGTCAGTGAATGGGGGAAGATGTTGAGGCACCACCACAGCAATGTCGCAGCTGCCCAGGCACGGTGGGTGCTCCTCACTCAGCCACCCCTGAGCACCCCATCCAAGCATCACGCTCAGCTTCCCCCACCCTTGCCCACACATGGGCAGTAGCAAGGCAGGGGTTAGCACCACCGAAGTTGGCCTGTGCAGCTACAGCCCTGCTCTTCCCTGCACCCATCTCCAGTGCCATAGTCTCCTGCCGCTGCACTGTTGCCAATTGAGGATGCAGGGATGCAGTTTCTTGTGCTTCCTCCTTTGCAGTATTGCTTTCCCCTCTCTGATGCTCAGAATAGAGGGGGCCTGAATCCCAGAGCTGAGCAGGATTTGACCAGTACTACAGTGCTGGAGGCACACTGGGCTGGCAGGTAGGACACAGCTCTGTGTGCTCCTCATCCCCAGAGGCTGGCAGATTGAGCTGGCCTGGCTGGTGGACCTTAAGCAAAGAGGTCTGCAGCTCTAGGAGAGCCATCACCGAAGCAGGAGGTTGCTGGCCATGGAAGGGCCATGCCTTGTCTTGCCAGCTAGACTTTCTGGATGGAGACAAGCCTCTCCAGACAGTGCTTGGCACCATCCCCTGCCCTTTCCTTGCCACGGCTCCTGCACTGGCTATTGAAGGCACTGGCTGAAGGGGTGACAAGTGACTCACAAGGCAGCTGGGGAGGAGGGTTTGCAGCTGGACGGAGATACATAGACTGTGTGGCCACCAGGCTGTAACGTCTGCCTGCTTGGGCCACAGGGATGGTGATGGCTGATGTACATGCATTGGGAGCACGGTTTGTTTGTTGATACCCCCACCAGTAGAATACTTGCGTCCTCCTTGTCGCTCCTTGCTCAATCCGTGACTTCTCTATTGGGTTGCAGACACCAAAACGACCTGTGAAGAAGCTCCATGAAGGTGACCAGCCATGCAATGTTCCTGGAAGGCTGTCCTCCTACTAGCCTTGGCATCCATTGCGATCCAATACACAGCAATCCGGACCTTCACGGCCAAGTCCTTCCACAGCTGCCCCATCCCCAACCCCGTGAACTGCAGCCTGAGCCAGGACACTGATGCTGCCGAGCGGCTGTGTGACGAGAGCCCCACTTTCTCCTACAACCTGTCCAGGAAGACGCACGTCCTCATCCTCGCCACCACCCGCAGTGGCTCCTCCTTCGTTGGGCAGCTCTTTAACCAGCACTTCGATGTCTTCTATTTATTTGAGCCCCTCTACCACGTCCAGTACACCCTGATCCCAAAGCTGACCCAGAGCAAGAGCACGACGGACAGGCGGGTGATGCTGGGGGCCAGCCGAGACCTGCTGAGGAGCTTGTACGACTGCGACCTCTACTTCTTGGAGAACTACATCAAACCCCAGCCTGTCAACCACACCACTGACCGCCTCTTCCGCAGGGGAGCCAGCAAGGCCCTGTGCTCGCCACCCGTCTGCGAGTCCCTGGGTGCCATCGATCTCCACCTCGAGGAAGGAGACTGCGTGAAGAAGTGCGGGACCTTGAACCTGACGCTGGCCACTGAGTCCTGCAGAGAGCACGGGCACGTGGCCATCAAAACCGTGCGGGTGCCCGAGGTCAGCGATCTCCGGGCGCTGGTGGAGGACCCGCGGCTCAACCTGAAGGTTATCCAATTGGTGAGGGATCCCCGCGGCATCCTGGCATCCCGGAGCGAGACCTTCCGGGACACGTACCGGCTGTGGAGGATCTGGGACGGCACCGGCAGGAAGCCGTACAACCTGGACGTGACGCAGCTCACCACGGTGTGCGAGGACTTCTGGAACTCCGTGTCCACCGGCCTCAACCGGCCACCGTGGCTCAAGGGCAAGTACATGCTGGTGCGGTACGAAGACCTGGCTAGGAACCCTATGAAAAAGACTGAGGAGATCTACGATTTCCTGGGCATCCCCATGGACAGCAACGTGGAGCGCTGGATACAGAACAACACCCGGGGGGACAGGTCCTCCTCCAAACACAAGTACGGGACCGTGCGCAACTCGGCGGCGACGGCGGAGAAGTGGCGGTTCCGGCTGTCCTACGAGATCGTGGCGTTCACGCAGCACGCCTGCCAGCACGTGCTGGCGCAGCTCGGCTACAGAACCGCCGCCTCCGAGGAGGAGCTGAAGAACCTCTCCATCAGCCTGGTGGAGGAGAGAGACTTCCTGCCCTTCTCCTAAGGCAGCCCCGGGGGGGCCCGGTTTTGATACGGACTCTTTCTAACTGTTGCCTTATTTTGGTTCGTTTCGGTTCCCCCCTTCCCCTCTTTCTCTCTTTTCTCCTCTCCAAGATTTGCACTAAACCTTGAGCAGGAATCTCAGCAGCTGAGGCCGAGGGAAGCGATTGCCGCCCCTCAATAATACGTTTGGGATGCAAGAGGAGTCGGGTCTCTCCAAGCAAGAGCTATAGAACTGTGGATGGGTTATAATGTTTACAAAACATACAAAGCGTATAAAGCAACCTTCAAGCTTTCCAAACCGAAGGGTACCTGGGGTACTGTACTTTTGCACTGTTTACTTTTACAATGTAAGAGGTAAATATAATTTATGAATGGTGTCATCCCCTCCAGAATAACTCCCCTCGCCCCACAATGAGCAGGTTAGACTGGAAGCTGAACGCGCAACAACCTCCTCGGTTTTGATCTCAGTGCGATAATGTCCTGTTACTGGGCTGGGCAGTGGGTCAGCTGCTCGTACATGGTGGTTTGGTAACACCTGTGATAGTTCTTTGTGCCAAAAAAAAAAAATCATGAAAGGAAAACAAGAAAAGGGAAAAACCGAAGTGATTGGGTGGTTTGGTAAAAGCCCAACACATTTAATGCTTTATTTCTGTGTTTTCTGTAAATAAAAAGTGCAATAAAACTGACCCTGGGGGTGAACTTCAACTGAAAGTGACTCAACTGGGGTGGATGTACCAACAGGCAGAGCGCAGCATCTCCCGGTGTGCCCAGCTGCTGTGAGGCTGGGGGGGGGGGAGAGGACACCACAGCTCCCAGCTTCCATCACCTCCTCGGGTATGTGCATGCCTGCATCCCAAGGGCGTTGATGTGCAAGCAGTTAAGTTGAAAGTGAGACCCTGTGGTTGTTCCCTGACGTGGTCCGTTTGGTCCCTGCCTGCTGGAATAGCTCAGCAGCTCCTCTGACTCAGCTGGGACATAGTACTCTAAAACAGCCCAGCCCTTAAGGCGCAGGCCACGAGCAGATGGGGAGCCACCAGTGCCAGTCCCCAGGGGACAGAGAACAGCAACACCCCAGCAGTCTCCTGGCTCTGTTCCTCCTGGAGACAGGCAGGGAGCCATGGAGGGATGCAGCCGCGGCTGGTCACATCTGCACACATCTGTGCATTCCCAGCACTGGACCCTGTTGGAGCCACCCACAGCCCCCCTACCTGGAAAGGTCTCCTCTCCAGAGGCCTCTTCTGAGGTCTGCTGCCCACCAGTTTCCAGCCTGAGCTCTTACTTGAGAGATGGTGAGGCTGGGTGCTGCTGGCACCCTGTCTGCATGAGGCTGCTCAAGTGATTTTCCAGCATCCTTTTCCCCCTTTAAAGACCTCTGGAGGGGCAGCTTGTTAGTGGTGTTTTTCAGCCTGGATTAACATAGCAATGTGCTCCAGCTGGGCTGCAGAAGAGGTGAGCAGGGCTGATGTATCTGAGGCCTCTCCTCAGGGCTGGCAGCTGGAGCATCTGTAATTCATCCCTGCTGTCTGCAAGGTGACATGGGCAGCTCCATCCCTGTGAGGAGGAACAGGGTGACAGCACGGATGTGCTGCAGGATGGGCACTTCCCCATGTGCGTCTCCAAGCCCCTGGCTGTGTCTGAGAGTGAGGATGAGTAGGGCAGGCAGCAGAAGTGACTGCAGCCAGCCTCAAGAGCTCTTACCAAGCAGCTGGCAGTGAAACACCAACCAAATAACGGCTTGATTGCCCCGTTATTAGTTACTAAATTAATCCTTTCGTCAGCACTTCACAAATGCTGCGCTGTTGGCTCCTGGCCCCCACCCAGGCAAAGGGACACCCTGTCTGGTGCTGTGCCTTCCACACACCATCCACTGAGCCAATGCAGAGGGTCTGGCTGCTCCCCTGTGGCTCTGGGGAGGCTTTGACATCCTTCCCCTGCAGAAAGGGCAGGCTGCTGTGGGGGAAAGGAGCTTTTCCTCGCTTCTTCAGCTGAAAGAAGTGGCTCTGCATGAGGGAACAGAGGATGTAGAGGCGGAATTGCCCATCTTTGGCTGTCATCCCACCACATCAGCTGTCCCCAGCCCAAAAGTCCTGTCACGCACTGGTCTTTAAACCAACACAAGGAATAGAGTTTAGAAGTCTTATCCAAACTGCTCTTACCATTCCAATCCGGAAATAGGCCTGCAGCAAAATGGCTTTTGAATCCCGGTTGAAAGCCATGTCCTAGTTTAAGCAGGGATGAAGGTTCAGCCTTGCTTAGTGCCTCATGTAGAGCCCTCAGGGGGAGATCTGATTTCCCAAGGAATCTCTAACATCTTCCCTCACTGCACTTCCTCTCCTCATTCCCCCCTCACTGGAAACAAGAGCCAACATATACAAGGTTTTTATCCTCAAATTTTACTGTAATTAAAATACAGAGATGCAGAATATTCCCAGGAACACACTGCAAAACAAACCAAGCAAACAAATTCAGTAGGAAACCAATTACAGACGATGAAATGATAAAGAACATGAGTGTTCTCTGGAGCCCAGCGCCGTGCACAGGACTGCGTGGCCGCAGTGATGGATCTGGGCTGCCAAAGGGCTCCTCGGCTCCCGCAGCAGCAGAGCTGGGCTCTGGCATTTGTCCCAGCAGCTCTGTAGCCTTCTCCACCTTCCCACTCATGCTGTTGTTTTCACAAGGATGGGTTTGCAATGGAGACACAGAAATGACCCACCCACAGGGACGAGAGCCAACGGGGGAACCCAGAGGAAATGAAGTGGGTTAAGATTTTCCACACACACATCACAAGGGGATGGAGAGGGGTGGAAGACGTGTACTTCTCTCCCAGCCAGCAGAGCTGGAGGGGACAGATACAGCTCTGCCCTCCCAGCCAACATGAGTGAGGATGCATAACAAGGGTCTGGGTGAGAGCTTTGGAGAGCTCCATCCAGGGGCAGGACAGAAAGCTAAGAGAGGGATTAAAAAGAAAGTGAAGAATAATGAGATGAGTAAAGGGAGGAGAGGATGTGCCTGTGGGCTCTTCTCTCATCCAGGGCATGATCCCTGGGCATGGGGAATGTCCGTCCGTGGCAGGGCACAGGGCTGAGGGTAGGGCCACATCCCACCTCCACCATGGGAAAGACCCAGCCCCACCATGGGATGATCATGACAAAAGCCAGGGGGAGATCTGGGGTGGTGAGGAGGAAGCTGACCTGGCACTTGGACCATCCGTTGGGCACACTGATCTATCCAAACGGAAACCCCTAGCAATCAACACTACTACGGAAGCAGGGCACCAGCTGGGCATGGAGCAGACCCCTGCTCCCCAAACCCCACTTCCCTTTCCGTACTCTTCCCTAGGACAAACTCCGCTGTGTTCATCCTCTGACACAGATCCTGTCCTAAGAAATAAATTCCCTCCACTCCCCCTTTTCTTGCTCTCCCACTCCTCACCTCCTCCTGTCACCAGTCCCTCCTCATCTCACTCTCACCTGAAACCTGGTGATCCTCCTTGTACTAACTGCCTTTAGTTCCAGACAAGTGGAGAGCTGCACTCCATTTACTGCAAGGATGCACAGAAGGGCTGACACAAAAAGACGGGAAACCCTCAGGACCCCTATGGCCTTCCTTAATGCAGCTTTATCCCATTTGCCATGCCCGCTCTGCACACACAGTGCCTGCAGACAACAGCTTGGGAAGGATGTACTGCCACCCCAGCAAGAGCCTGTGTGAGATACTGGTTATCCAAAAGCATGAGCATTCAAGGCTAGGTTGAACGGGGCTTGGAGTAACCTGGTCTAGTGGAAGGTGTCCCTGCCCATGGCAGGGGGTTGGAACTGGGTGAGCTTTAAGGTCCTTTCCAACCCAAATCATTCTATGATTTTATGAGCTTCCCATCACCCGCCCAGGGGTGGCTGGTGAAGTAAAGCCCCTCAAGTACTATCTTGTGTACAAGGCCTGGGAGAGGCAGTCAGGAAAAAAACTGTCTTCTGTCCTAATTGGTAAGGAATTGTCTTTCTAAGAGGGCTGTGACAGCACAGCTAGTTACACACAAGCAGCTTTTAGCTCTGGGGTTAGAGCTCGCTTCAGGAGCAGCCTGTGATACGGAATAAGAAATGAGATGTGCGCAGGAGGAGCAGCGAGCAGAGACGCAAACACAGCGAACCGTGCTCCTGGTCTGCAGGGCGTTCGAGACAAAGGAAGCACAGACAAGACTTCTTCTGGCCTTGCCAGCTGCCACGAGCATCCCACAAAGCGCAGGCACACATCAAGGCCTGATCCTTCTGTGAGGCTGCTGCCTTCAGAGACAAACCCGACACGTCTGGGTCAACTTGGCCTTCACCAGAACAAAAGAGACAAAGCGAGGAAACGCACGCACATGGCAAATGCTGTTTCCTCTTCAGAAACAAAGATGTAGGTTAAACCACACTCACGCTAGCAAGAGTCACACACTGTGGAGATCAGCGACTTCTTTCCACTGCTAATAGCAGGGACTACCCAGCAAAGGGTATGGAGAGAAACTAACACCAGCACAGGACACAGTGACTTACGTCACGCCCGAAATGTGGATTTAATAAAGGTCAGAATGAAAACTGCTTCACAAGCCCAAGAACACTCAGCAAAAATGGGGGGGGGGGGGGCCGTGTACTTCAATATTCCCTGATGTCTGAGTCCTAAGCACAAGAGAGCAGCCAGGAAGCACAATGACCTCCAACGGGAAACGAAAATCAAGGAAGCTGGCTTCAATATCCAGAAGACAGGGCAGAAAGTAAACAAACCACACAGACAAGGGCAAAGGGATTCTTCACATTCCTTTGGTTTCAACAGACTACGCTCTTGGGCAACAGAGGGGAAAACATCCTCTAAAATATGCCTTCTATTTTGACCAGGACCCTATAGAAAACCTGTATGGAAGTGCCTAAGATGACAATGGAAACTCCTCTGTTTTGCTTCCCTGGCTGAAGCCTGTGGACTGACACACGCATTAACACAGATGCATATATATAAAATACAGCACTTCACTCGCCTGTGCATCCAACACCTAACACCTAGGCTCATCACCTGCCAAAGCCAGGAGAGGAGTGAATGGTGGAGCCTGTGGCTTTCCTCATCCCTAGAATTACAGAGGACCTTGGAGCGAGTGAATGTGTGTGTGCATGCATGTGTGATGAGCATCACAGGCCAGGCTGAGGATGGCCGTGACCCGCAGAGGGATGCAGGCATCTGGGTTTCTGCAGCACTGCGAGTGCTGGTGGGGCATTTGGTGCAACATGGTCATTTAGAGGGGCCAGGCTGAAGCCCCAGGAGCTGCTGGTGCCCTGTGCAGGCTGGATGCTGCTGGAGCATCCTCCAACATGGTGCAGCCCTCTCAAACCCAGGCCAACTCTCCTGGGGTGCTGAGTGATGGGAAGAGCAACGCTCTCAGCCTCCCATCCCTCACTGCAGCAGAATCTGGGTGGCGTTTGGGAACATGCTTGCTCATGGTTCCTAGCGATGCCTGTGGAGTGAGAGTGTGGCCTAGAGCCCAAATGCCCCTGTTGTAGGTGGAGATACTGCAAGGACTTCAAGGGTCAAACCCAAAGGCCCAGTTGGTAGCTCTGTGGAGCATCACCACCTGCGCTGCAACATCACAGAGGCCTGGCAGATGCCACTGTCAGCTCCTACCCCAATGGGAACATACAGCAGCTTTCACCCTACTGCCTCTCAC